CAATATTACTCCGTAAGGGTACCTACGCTTTGACATACCTCTTTCTAAAAGCATTTCCTCTTTGTTTTTCTTTCTGAAAGGGTGAAGGCAAAAATATATGCTCATATATATATTTACAAACAGGCGACGATTGCGACTCGATTATTTACAATTTGATTTTATTTTTACAGCCATTGACAAACAGGAGGAAAAAACCCGGTGATACGCTTGTTTTTGTATGCGAGAGTGTGTGTGGGTGTGTGTGGGTGTGTGCGAGTGAGTGTGTGCCCGAAAGGCATTTCCCGGGCGCAGTGAGAAAAATCAATCAAAATCGATTTAAAAGCACAACTTCCGTTGCGGATTTACCAATGTCCGTGTGAGTGTGTGTGTGTGTGTGTGAATGGGTGGTGTGTATTTGCCATTGGGCTGGTGGTTGTGTGTGTCTGAGTGTGTGTGTGTGTGTATTGTGAAAATGTTACCAATTTATTTGTTTTTATGCCCTCGTGTGTGTTTTATTGCCTCAGCTTTTGTTGCTGTCATTGTCGCTTTGTTGCCTTCATCCGAGTCCATTTCCCATTTCCCATTTACCACTTTTCCCTTTCCCCCCATTTCCTTTTCCCTCATGTCTCCCCCCGAACCCAAAAATAAAGGGGGAATCACTTTGCATGCGTCCGTCTTCTGTTTTCACACACATATTTGGTCAATTTTCAATAACGGAATTGAGGCACACACACACACACACACGCTCACAGCACCCACACATAAGCAGGCACTGAACGCATTTACAATTGGATTTTTGTGTTTTTTAAGGGTAAAGGATTTGCTTGGGGAATGGAAGGCCGAACAATAAAAGAGTGGAAGTGGCATAAATACGTAATTCAGGACATTTGAATATTTCATAAGGACATGACCCACATACAAAATAAAACACACAAAAATTATTACAATTCTCTGCTGCTAACGTGTTTGTGTGTGTGTGTGTGGGTGAGTTGGAAAATCCAGCCCCAGGGTGAAGGAAATTTGCTTTTATTGCTGATAGTTTGCATTGTAATTGAGTGGGAACAGGACCGAGATATGCCAAGGAAAAGAGACAGGAAGATCAAGATTTTTCTGGCCTGATGAATGGGGAAATTTTCAGTAGTCAAATTACTTGTTGTTGGCCCAGATGAAAGTGTGACTCGGGGAAATCACTTGAGGATAATAACTTCTGAATGCAAAATTTTAATTGAGTTTGACAGGGAAAAGATGAATCAAAATGTATGACAGAGGGATTGGAACTCACTTAGAAGGCAATTATTAAGGAAATATCTTACAAGTTGTGAGATAACAAGAGGAGTAGGAAGAACTATAATTTTGAAAGGATAATCTAGATTACTTGCAATGAGTTATTTTGTATAAATTATGGCAGTCTCTTTGAATCCATGAAAGAGTCTCGCAGAATAATTGCTTTTAATATTATTTTTAAGCTGTCACTCGAAAGAACTCAATTTCAAAAACCTATTGACTGCAAAAATCATATTTATCTTCCAAAAAAACGTGTCACATTACAAAAACTTCAAAGGGAAATCCCAAAACGATAAACATCGATGATTACATCCTGAGGCAAGTGACAGCTTTCACTTTTCCAAATATATCACATTCCAAACATAACCAATAAATCACAGGATGTCCATAAGTCACACCCATAGCCACGTTCCCATTTCCTCTTAACTTCGATTAAATTGACACCCCGAACCCGATATCCCCTCGACCTTCAGCCCGAAATTCATGTAATAGATAGGAATCGCAGTTGGCCAATTACTGTCCATCCCCACACCGCACGCAATCTTGCACCACCTGAACCACCATCACCACCAGTCGTCGTATTGCCGGATTGACATTTGGCATCACTTGAGTGCGCGACCACCTGACAAATACCTCGGATATCATTCACGCCGGGAATCGGAATCATTCACTCATATCGCCCGGCCACTGATTGGCATTGACAGACGTCGACGCAGACGCGTCGCCGGGCAACTGCAATTTTGTATCTTGATAAATTACTTATGACTGGCCCAGACATTGATGAGTACTCCGTCGCTCGGTATTCGGCACTCAGTATTCCCTGCTCAGTATCATCAGGTGATGGTGGTGGGAGGCTTTGGGCCGCCAGGCAGCACCTCTCATCAAGTGCGCACCTGAAAACATTTAACGTTAATCAGAGGAATGGGACTAAAGGTGTCGGGACTAATTGATACCCTTTCATGATCTTCTTGTAAATTGTTCTTAAAATCTTAAAATCTAAAGAAAAATCCAAGAAAATTGAAAGAGTGAGAGATACAAAATTAGCTTTGGAAAAGCAACTCGCAAGGAGTTTGTCTGTGGGTGTTGACATAAAAAGGGTGCAACGTTGAGTATACTGAAATGAATTAGTAATAATATTTGCTTGTTTGCCTTTGTACTGCTTATTCTTTCCGCTCCCCTATCCTCCCCACCCCTTCAGCTTGCACATTTCGCGTTCTTTATTTTCTTCGCCAAACTTTTTCTTTATTTTTTTTCGCCATACTTATAACGATTTCGTAGCTGTTTCAGTGTTTTGGCAGCCAACAAAGGCGACATCGAAATGGGTTGCCACACTAAGAGAGGGCCGCGAAAGGGGAAAATCGATGAGACGACAACTTGTGATGGAGGTTTTGGATATATATTTATATATATATATATACTTAGAGGTATGGAGGCGTCGCCGACGGCGTCGGTGGGACAGTTAATGGCGACAACGGCGGCGCACGTCTGGGTCTGGAAGCCCCGACTTTGGCGACAACGACGACGATGCGATCCGTTGAAATGGTAATGGTGACTCTGGTGACGGTGTCGTCGACCAGACGAAATCCCGCCAGCAGGCAGTATCGTAGAAAAAATAGTGCCACACACACTCTGACTCCTTCAAAGTGACAAAAGAAGAGCGAAAAAAATAAACCAGGACGAAGGGTAGCACAAATCCTCATCCACATCCCGCCATCAGTTGAGTAAATCAAACCAATTTCAAAATTCAACTAAGCAAGCAGACAATAACAAATCACGTCCAGCGCAAGGAGGATGTGATGGATGAACCATTTGCTAAACGTTATTACGAGTCCAAAGAAAATGGGAAACGTAGTTTTACCCTGGGACTTTCCTAGAATAAGTTAGCTTAGTTGGGATTTTTAGAACTTGGATTTTATTTACCAAAGTTTAAGAATGATTTTTCCTTAACAAATAAAATAAATAATAAATTCCTAAATGTAGTTATAAAGATGAAGATCTTTCAACCTTAACCGAGTATCTTTCTATCTATAAAACATATAATATTATCTTTGTTTGTTTTTTATTTCATCCATAACCCTCATAGGTCAATATAAATTCAATAACTTCAGACAAAATGTCAACGCCCCCGGCTTTTAATTAGAAAGCCAAACATTGCAGCGAAAGACAAATAAATATAAAAGTCTGTTTTTTTTTTTGGTCTATCAACCAAACTCTGTCAAAAAGGGAATTTTTTATGAATTCAATCAATGAAAACGTAACTGGGTGTTCATCCCTTCAGTGCAAACATATATCAGCCAGACAAATCAAAATTACTTTTGGCCAGAGTTTAGGGCTTTCATCCAGAATCCAAAATCAAATGGAGCGGTTGGGATTCTTAATAACGACTTCCGAGGGGCGCTTAAACTGTTTGCTTTTGCCTCGCTGATTGTGTTTTCTGCATTTTGTTTGTTGACGTTTCTGATTCAGAATCGACTGCCGTCGATGCACACGCGCCCACAGTAAACACACTTGAAAAGCGATTCAGTCAACAGAGTTCGCCTCAGTTCACCAGACAGTTGACACCGGGAAGAAGGCCTCCAAAAGACAGCTGAGAAAAGGGAGACATTCCACCCACTGTTGTCCTTGGCTAAACACGCAATTTTCCACTTTTTTGGACCGCTGCACGTGCTGGATGGCGGAAAGAACAATAGCAACAATCAGTCAATAAGTAAAATTAAAATAATAACAAATTTCTGAAAGAAGCACCAGTCAAATATATAATCAAGGAGGGTGGAGGAGGGTAGGCGGCCCGATTTCAATGGAAAACATTTTTCCATTTAACTCATAAAAATTTCGTGTTTCTTATACGAATTTGTTTAGATATGCGATTCGATTTTCGATTTTCGCCTTCCCGATATTAGGTAAAAGTAATATGTGTGTGTTTTTGTATGTTTTTGGCCAGGAATGTTGCTACGAAAGTTTGTTTACAATGCCGGCAACAAGTTGATGGCTATTGAGTGGGAGAGAATAAATATGTTTAATGATTGTTTTTATAATTCTTTCCAAAGTCGAAAAATTGCGCAATTCCCTGAATGGAAAATGCCCAATAGAAAATATTCACTTCCTCTTTTCTTTCCTCGTACTTGTGTTTTTTTTTTTGATAAATCAATACAGAAAATCAAACCTATCATATCGACTGTACAGGCTTCTACGTGCAACAAATTGCTCACTTCTCTGGGCGTGTATATAAAGTTCTTTCTTTGTATTCATTGTGTAAATGTTCTTCAAGGAAACCGAAAAAGGACTCAGTCTGTCTTTTATCCTTTTCCACGGCACTCCACTCCATTTCCCCACCCCCTGCTCTATATCTGAAAAAGGAAAGCAAAAAAAAAAAACAAGAAAAGAAAAGAAAAGCTGAAAATGTTTTGCCCACTCTTTGCTGGCCCTAATCAAGTAACCCGAACACGTTCTTTGTTAGATTTATATGGAAAATATATTTTTATACATGCAACCCAACCGACCCGAAAAACCCCCAAACCCGCGCACCCACCACCACCCGCTGTGAGAAAACTGGCTCCTTGGGGGTGGCTAGACTTTTCCCGGCTAGTCAAAAGTGATATTTTACATATTTTCCGACAGTTTTCCTTTATTTTCCTCACTTCTCTGTCCCATCTTGGTTGCTCCTTTTTCCTTTTTTGCTTTTTTCTTTATTTTCTTGCCTTTGCTTGCATTTTATTACTTAACGCTTAAGTGTGCTTCTTAGGAAGGCAGAAAAAAAGGCGTCCGGTATGGTGGGTGGGTTTCTGCTTCTTGGCAGAGTTTCTGTTTTAAATTGAAAAGTTGTAAAAGGATTCCTTGGGTTGCTCCTTTTTTGCTCCGCCAGAGTTTGGCAAATTAAACACATTCTCTCTTTTTTTTTGGGAAATGATCAAACAGAAAACTTTTATTTAACAAATATGGTGGAATGGGAAAGTAACAGAGGATGGATGTGGAATGGAACAATGGGTTCGTGGAATGAAAACAATGAAATCACGGGTTATCACAATTACCAGCTGCCACTGCCGCCCTGGGGGGACCAACCACCGCTGGATGGACCGCCCGAGGACCAGCCACCACTGGAAGCTCCACCGGCAGACCAGCCACCGCTGGAAGCGCCACCTGAGGACCAGCCACCGCTGGGGGCACCACCCGAAGACCAACCGCCAGAATCTCCTGCTCCAGAGTCCGATTCTGAGATGATTTTGATGATCTTCACGGGGACCTCAGCTCCACCGCCTCCCGAGGGCCAACCACCGCTGGAAGCTCCACCGGAAGACCAGCCACCACTGGAAGCTCCACCGGATGACCAGCCACCACTGGAAGCACCACCCGATGACCAACCGCCACCAGAAGATCCACCATATCCTCCAGATGAACCTCCATAGCCACCTCCATGACCTCCAGACGAAGCCTGCTGTGAGATGATCTTGATGATCTTAATTTCCTGGGCACCACCACCGCCATGGCCGCCACCGCCACCAGCAGACCATCCGCCACCAGCACCACCGCCTCCTCCAGATTGCCAGCCTCCTGAACCACCGGATGGAGCCGATTCGTGAATCACTTTGATGACTTTGACGGGTGGGGAACCACCACCACTGCCATGATGATCTGAGCCATGATCAGAGCCACCGCCACCGCCACCGCCATAGCTGTAGCCACCATCTCCGCCGCCATGGGAGGATCCACCGCCACCACTGTAGCCACCGTGAGATGAGCCACCACCACTATAGCCACCACCTCCGATGAATCCTGCTTGAGCCACAGCGGCCACAGCCAGCAAACAGACGAAGATTTTCATGTTGACCTGATGGAGATGAGCCAAAGCGTCGAACTGATGTCTCTGCCAGGTCGTGGTTACACTTTTATAGACCGAACCACAGCAATTCGTGGCGGCCTTGTCCGGAAGCATCACGCCAGTGATGCAGTGCACTACGGACACCCCCGGGCCAGTTAACACAGCGTTAACACAGGCTCGAGTGGCTCCGGCGAAAGCCTCAGTGGGTTGATGTCGAAAGACTCTCCCCTAACCGCAATTGAAGGCAACATTTGCTGATCGAATCAGTTCGGAAATGGCCTTAATAAGTTACAGGAATACGCTTTCTTTGCTTTGGTTTACTTAACTGCAAAGAGGCTTATCAGATTCTATATTTTATAAGATATATAAAAGAAGTTTCTAGAAACTATGATGGGATCCTATTAGGTCTTAAAGAATATCTCTTTCTTAAGTATTTTTCCAGCTGAGGTATCTAGTAGAGTATCCCATGATCGACTTAAATCAAAATTTGTTATACTTTCTCGTGATTTATTTGGATTATGTAATCAAATAACCAGCAAACAAATAACCGAGCAGCCAGCCAACATTATTTTTTGGCGCTTCAAGCGCGCACTTGAATGAAGTTTTTCCCCCTGATCGCACAAACATCGCATCTGCCCATGGCAAACTCTTCCCTCTCCTTTGCGCCGATCAAAGCCCGTGATTAATGAGTGCGGAGTTCAAAAAGCAGGTGATCGGGCGCAGGTGAGAGGACAAGTCGACAGCCAGGCGAGGTTCGTGCGCTTTCAACTGTCCCTGACATCGATTTCTGGGCTACCGCTTTGAGTTGTTACGCATGCGTTTCAGATACATTGGTCACTGATCAAGTACACGCAAAAAAACCATTAAAATGGGTAATTAAATATTTGATAAATATTACAAAATCATTTTAGACAAACATGGTTAAGAGTATTTACTTTTATGGTAAGTTTTAGGAAGTAGGAACATCAAACAGGATATCCTTGGGAGTTTTGCCTTAACTTTATATACTAGTACTAGAAATTTTCCCAGTGCATTGCCTCCTGTTTTCATGCCAAAACTCTCCCCGTTCATTCATCCGTTCCAGCACCTTTGCATCCCATTCATCGATCATCTAGCTGGGGGCAACAGTTCTCAATGAGACGTCAAGTTCTCATTAAGACGAGAGCCGCATGCAAATGCCAGATCAATTAATCAATTTGTTTTGCCAATAAATACGACTAAATATGGCCAACGATCTCTGCCAATAATGATAAATGGTTTCACCAGCTTGGCTTTTCTGCTTTTGCAGTCCATTTGGCTTTATGTTATTTTATCTCTTTACATTTTCACTCGGCCAAATGAATTCAATTAGGCAAAAAAGTTTATACAAAAAACCAAAAAAAAAAACCCAAAAAATTAACGTGGGAATATTTTTTGGCCACGCATGACAAATATGTCAAACAACTTCGGGCTCCGCAAATAGTTCCCCTTCTCTGTGGCTAAATAGACTACGCATGCAACATGTTGCCGGTTTCATACTCTTTTTCGATGCCCAAGGCGGAAAAGACTGGCTTGAATGGCTGATAAATTAAAAGTCATTTATTTTCAAACAGTTATAACTCTATTGGGGGCCCGATGGTTTTGAATGACAAGTGGAAAAATCAGGAATCCAAATTAATTAAGTTTCATTGCTATTAATAATAATAATCATATAAGCTAAAAGAATGAGGATATTAATATAAATACTTGATAAATAACAGAGAATTTCTGTTCCTTTTAAACAATTTTTGATAAGATTCGCCTTATTTCTGCCGTTTTAAGCTGTATCCCTGGAAAAGTGGCTTAGGGTAAGGGTTATGCCTAGCTTTTCCCTTGCCCTTCTCTTATGTCACATTTAGCAAGTCTGACATTTGGTGGAAATATTGTTGGAAATATTTGCTGGTCGAAAAGTGAAATAAAGTTGCAATTCCAGCAAGAGCTGTCAAAATGTTGCCGCTGCTGCTGTTGCAGTTGCAGTTGCTGCTGGGCTCGGCAACCTGCTGACTGTTGACTGCTGCCCGTCGTTTTCCCATGTGAATGCTTAACCGATTGCCAGTGCTTACCCTCTCGCCCCCGACTAACCTCTTTTCATTTTCCCTCCCCTTTTTTCTATTTTTCTTATTGTTGTTGTTATTGTTGTTGTTGTGGCAGTCAACCTGCCTGATATTTTTACCAAAAAACAATTTCGACAGTCGCGCATTTTTCACGCTGCCTCATTTGCAGCGATTTTCAATGCGATATTTGTTGCCGGTGCTGCCACCGATTGTTGTTGCTAGTTGCAGTTGTTGCACGGCTTGTTGTTGCTTGTTCACATAACCATAACTCCGCATGGCACCTCTACAGATTGTGCTCAGTTTTGTAATACCCTTAAGAGAGGGTATTCTAAAATGTCTTTTGATTTTGATTTATATATTTGAAATATTATTTATAAGTTAAATTAACACGAAAATCCCACTTTCTTTTTTACAATTCATATAATAATTAATAAAAATAAATATCTTTAAAAGAGTATTTAATCAGCTGCTAGCCATTCCCTCACATATGCTCAGCCCCAGTCGACTTTTATTCCATTTGATTTCCTCGCCTTCAGGATCGTGACACACCGCAATGGATGTTGCAACTGCAACTGTCGACTGGCGACCAGAAATACTTGCGATTAGCTTGGCCTGGCCCTAAATGAAATCAGCGGCCATTCGAGTCATAAATGGCTGGCAAAACCTTTGCTAATATGTCATGAGCGGACATCGACGAGCGAGGAATGGGTCAGCTCCAAAAGCATTGGGCAATTGCCATTTCGAAGTGAGCCATGGAGTACTATATGTAGTACTACTACTGGGGTGTTATGCGCTATGTCATCGAAACCAGTTTACCGTTAGCACATACAGATATGTGGGTGTCACAACCAGGTACAGTGGTGACCCATTAAAGCAATCAGCGGCAAACACATGTAAGTCAAGTGGCAAACAGCGGGGAGCAACTTCGATTCCCGCCTCGTTTTTGGTTACGGTTGCGGCTCATTACGCAGTTCGCTTTGATTTGCATAGCGATTGAATGGAGTTTGTATAGCCGAAATGGTTTTGGCCCCTTTGGGGAGTTGGCCTGGGAGTTACAAGCCACTCCGCCATAGACCCCCCTCCCCTCTCCACCATTTTTGGGGCTGGCTCTTTGATTTGTGTGACATGAGCAGAGAGAATTATTTGCTTATTGTTAAACATTTGCGTTTGAATAACTTGTAAACTGTCAGGGCAACACGGGTACGATTAACCCATAGTTGGGTTAAGGTAGAGTTGGTTGGGAAGTGGGTTTTAGCGGGTTTGTACTAATGGGATTTGTGGAAGTAAAGGTAGTTTTATGGAGGATTTAAGTTGTATTAAAGGATTCTGAAAAGACTTAAGGAAAATAAAGAAAATGTAGATTTTTATAGACTTTAAATATTATTATATTAGTAAAATAAAGCAAGTAGAATATTTTTTAGGCCATGTTTAGATGACTGCACTCTGACTGTACATAAAAACCTCAGCAAATTAGAGGTACCCAATGGGTTAATACTCAAAGTTAGACATGTTGTTAGCGTTATTGGCGATTGTCATATTCGGGCGGCATTCCTGCGCTGTCAATAGTCGATTGTCGATTGTTGAGGCCGTGCAACCGGCTTATTACCGGCTATATCAGATGGCCGGCGATACTGAGACACATGCGGCGTATGCGCAATGTCGATCCCATTGCATTCTCAAACATTTTTCGATTGGTTTATTGCAATTTTCCAACGCTGCTGCCTATTGCTGACCATGTCACATTCGCTTTTCGTCTCAATTGCAGTTGAAAGACAAATTGCGCACCTTTGGCAGTTAGGAATTTGACTTTTTGATTGACAACTGCAACGATCGGCGATCAGCGATCAGCGATCGGCAAACAAAAATCCAAGTAAAGCCGAAAAAACAAAACCAACAATCGATTTCGCAAAGCTCTAAAGTTCAGTTTATTAAACGTTTGCTTGGCTTTCTGGTGACCTCGAAAACAAATTCAATTATGCAGAAAAAAGAAGAAAAAAATGTTTTTGCCAAAATTCGCGAGGCACCTACGCTGACTCCAAAAGCAATTTGCCAACCAAGAAAACAGACAAAAAAAATTAGCTGCGATGAAGACAAAACCCAAAACACGGCAGCCTAAAAAAATAGCGACAAATATCAGAGTGTGACGGCAGACCCGCTTAACCCCCCGACACCCCGATTAACCCGTTCCCTTTCACAGCCGAAGACATCAATGCCAAACCAAAACAGAAAAAAGCAAATCAATGAGCTTCAGACAAGGAAAACGGGCCAAGTCTTCAGCTGCTCTCTGCTCTTACTCGAGTGATCTCCCCAAAAAATGAAAAAGAAATCCAAGTGAAAATCAATTGCAGCTGCTAGAGAGCTGGCCATTCTTTCTCGGTTTAGTTTCTTTCAGTTAACTCGTCAACTTGGCCGCTCTAAGCCAGAAAATCACAAACAGAAACTGTGACTGAGCGACGGACACTGAGCCAGCTGACGTTACAGGTTTTCAAATCTGGCACATTAATTTTAAAGACAAATGAAACGAAAATAATACACGATGAAAGCCAAGACAAGATACGACGAATTTGTGATGCTCTAGGAAGGAAAAAGTAGGGAAGTTTGGAAGAGAAAGATCTCCTGAAAGACAACTATAGGTAATGTCTATAGGTGACTTATAACTATGTTAACTATATTAACCAAAAAACTTCTTTTGATTACTTTTAAAAACATCTAAAACTGATCCTTGAAGTTTTTACCTCCTGTAATTAGCTCCATCTTAGAACATTTTCCTCTCAATCAAAAGAGCTATCACCCATAGGCCTGGCCAAAAGCTAGGGTAACGATAACGGCTCACCTTAATGTGGACGGTGGACCACCTTGTGCGACCTTCTTTTCAGATGCCGACGTCGGGTAAAACAAAACTAAAAACAATAAAGCGCCAGAGCCGAAAAGCGGCAACAATTACCAGCAAC